CCCCCCTCCCCAGGTCGATAGACTCCATGGAGGAGCTGGCGAAGCTGCGGCCACGGATCGGCCCCCAGCTCTTCTTGTCCCCGGGGTAAGGAGCGAAGTCTGACCGGGACCAGGCCTGGGGTCCCCAGGCTCACTGAATGCCTAGGCCAAGCCGTCCCTCCCCCTTCCTGTCCTTGGGCTGAGCTGCTCCACCACAGGGTGGTTTGGGTTCGTGGCCGACTCTCCCTCCTGGCCACCCCTTCCACTCCAAGTGCAGGTGAGCCCCGGTTCCCCCCACGGTCAGCGTTTTCCAAATGACTGAATTTCTTCGGCGCGTGCAGAGATGACACATGGTTTGCGTTTCTCCCTTGGCATTGAGACTCTTTCGGTGTAACTGTGGAGTCGGCTGGAATGTGTTCTGGGGTGTAAGGCGAGGTCCCCTCTGGGCAGGTTCTTCCTTGTCTCAGTAAGTGCAATTAGCCCAGGCCGCAGGCTTCGTGTACAGCACACAAGTCGTCTTATTGGATTAAAAAAACAACCACAATAAGACAAAAAACCTTTTTTGGGGACCGGCAAGTGGCACAGTGGTTAAGGCATTAGACTCCCATGTAGCCAACCACAGTTTGAGTCCTGGATCCAGAGGCTTGAAAATCACACTGGGTGCGCGTGCGTGTATGCGTGCCCCAAATCTCAAGTCGAGGAGAAAGGATTGTGGCGTGGCCATCCCCCCGGGGAGGTGATTTCTCACTTTCCCTTTGTCTCTTCATCCGTGCACACACCCTATAGCAACAACTTCAAAATAATAATAGTAACTGGGAACTTGATGCTAGAATGTTTATATAGACAGATGGTGGTAAAACCCTTGACTACAGGTTTAGAGAGAGCCGCCCTGAAATCCCCTGACTGTATTGTTAAGATGTTTAAAAAAAAAAAAAAAAGTAGTATTTTTATTTATTTTTTTTTTTTGATTAAGAACATCACTATTTTTCTTCAGGTAAATTTTCTGTATCTTCAACATTTTCTGCTCAAAATTAAAAGAACAAAGCAGTCTCAAAGTTTAGAACTGGATCTCCTGGCCCTTTCTCTTCTTATTCCCCCCAGTTCAAAATGTCTTCTTCTTTTAATAGCCAGCATTTTTAAACACAGTGATATCTTTTTTTTTGAAAGGTTTTTGCTCTAGGGCGCGTGTGCTTGCCAGACAGAGACAGACAGAGAGACAGAAAGCGAGAAATCACCCCCCAGGGGGGATGGTCACGCCGCAATCCCTTCTCCTCCATTCTCCTCTCGGGATCTTGGGATTTTATGTTTTATTTGTCCAAAGGAGGATAGGTTAAAAGCCTTCTCCAGAATATTTTCTCCTCTGGAGCTGTGAGAGATACTTACTCATTAAGGCAAATACCTTCCTTCCTGATATTTTCCAAGGTCTGGGAGGATGTCAGTCCATAGACTGACTTGCTCTCCAGAAAGACAGAGAGATATAAAGCAAGAAATCACCCCCCAGGCGGGGATGGCCATGCCGCAATCCCTTCTCCTCCATTCTCCTCTCAGGATCTTGGGCACGCACACGCATGTGCCTGGCATGAGTTTAAGCCACCGGGTCTGGGACTCGAACCACGGTCAAATACATAGGAGTCTAGCGACATAGCCATTATACCAACTGCTGGTCCCTCTTATTCCTTTTTAAGCGAAGTTCAATTAAAAAAAAAAAAATTGCTATCGGGTGCACGTGCTCACCAGAGAAAGAGAAAAAGAACGAGAAAGTGAGAGCTCACCACCCAGTCCCGGGGGATGGCCATGACGCAATCCCTTCTCCATTTCCCTCTTAGGCTTTTGGACACTCACACACACATGCCTAGCGTGATTTTATTTCTTCTTTTTTTTCTTAACTTATTTTTTTATTTGACCAGAGAGAGAGAGAGAGAGAGAAAGTGAGAAAGCAAGCCACTAGGTCTGGGACTTGAACCACAGTCGTGTTTATGTTTTCCGTGAGTGAGTGAGAGAGATGGGCACCCCAGCAGGGGCTCCATGTTGAGCCCCGCCCCAGCTCCAGCCAGTCCAGATCACGGGCATGAATGCGCATGGCCATGTGGTCGGGGGATCCGACATGAACCCAGAACCTTCCGCATGGGTCAGCCTTGCAGGGTGGCATTACCACCCGTCTCAGGGACAAAACATCTGCCTAAACTCAGATCCTGAGCTCTTAAACGCCACCTCCCCGTCCCCATTCCCTGGGTCCCCACTCCATTTCTGTCTCTATGATCGGACGGCCCCAGTGACGGTGTATGAGCGGGACCATGGGGTCCCTGCCCCCAGGGAGTGGCCGTCTCACTGAGCCCCGGTCCTCCAGGCTCACTGCGGTGAAGCAGGTGTCAGCGTCTCCTTCCTGCCTCAGGCGGAGCGTGCTCCCTGCGAGGGCGGCCACTGCCTGGTCCGTCATGGCTGTGGGTACTTGGGTGGGTACATGGCCAGTTGGACCACGGTGAACAGTGCCACAACGCCTCTGTTCAAACAAGTACCGGTCCGCGTCCCTGGCACTCTCTCTTACTTGCAGAATTCTCCTTTCTGTTCAGGTGAGTTCCCACACTTGGTTGGTCAAGCCCTGTAACACGTCCCAAGAGAATTTCGGTTGCCTTTAGAGTGTCACCACGATGAACTAGAATTTGTGTTTCTAGTGTTTCTAGGCAGGTCTCGGCTGGCCCAGCGGTGTTCGGTGTTCGGTGCACAGTCACGCCCCCGGACGCCTGGGCTTTCTCCTCCACGCCCACATTCTCCCTGGCCACTGGTCCCCTCGCTCTGCCCGGTGGTGGCCAAGCCCCCAGCCCCGCGCTGTCTGTGGCTGCATGTGTGTGCACACCCAGCCCCGTGGCCAGGACATCTTCTTGAAGCCCCCTGGCAGCCTTGTCCCTGGCTCCTGGCCCAGCCCCCCGGTGGTGGCCCCATGCCTTCCTCTCCTTGTTCTCAAGGACGGTCCTCTTCAGCACCACCCGCAGCCCCTGGGCCGAGGTCATTCCCTGCGACTACGAGATGCACCACACAGTCAAGGACCTGGTGCCGCTCAAGGCCTTCCTGCTGGCGGGGACCACGGTCACCGTCGTGGAGGAGAAGGTGGGCAGGGGCGGCGGGCGCTGCTCGGCCTCCCAGGGCCAGACTCCCTCCAGGCCGCCACGCTGAGGTCCCCTGCACCTGCTGTGGTTTCCCATCGGGACACTGGGGTGTGCTCCGTGGTCAGACGGTGTCTTGGCGCCTTTCCAGAAAGGGCAGGGGGGCCAGCGGCCCTGGGTGCTGTTCACATGCCGTCTTCCGTCCTAGGTCGTGTCTTGGCCTGCGGTGGCTCCTGCAGTTGACAACTTGCCGGCCAAGAGAGGAGCCAGGGCGAAAGACAAGAAGGGGGCGAAGGGCAAGGAAGAGAAAGAGCAGAGGGGAAACTACGGGAAAGAGCCCGGGAAGGTGCGGCCCTGCGGGCGGACTGGGTGGCCGGCTGCTGCCACCTGCCCTGCCCCACTCTGCACGCCTGGCCTGTCCCCACAGGAGCCCAAGACACCCAAGAAGAAGAAAGAGTTCCCCAAGGAGCTGCGCCAGGACCCGCCCATCCTGAAGGTGCTGGGGAGCAGCCTGGTGGTCCTGGAGCCCCTGCTAGCCGGGGAGCACGTGGTGTCCATGGAGTGCAACTTCGGGGTGATCCGCACCCTGGAGTCCGACAGGCTGACGTTTACCCGGGTACAGTGGGGCCCTCCCCACAGGCGCCTGGCCGGGCAGGGAGGGCCGAAGGGCTGGAGGGAGGCCGGCGGGCCTTTCCCTGCAGGGGTCGCTGGGCCTCTCCCCCTCACCCCCGATTCTGCATCCTTTACTCCCCCCTGCCCCAACTACAGTTTTGAGCCTTGTTTTGTGGTTCTTCCTCTCAGGATTTGAAGAAGATGAAGAAAGGAAACAAAAAAGGTAAGAGGCCATGCAGGTCGGAGCCCACCAGTGAGGGTCGGCCTGCTTTGGACACGGACCCTGCTCTGTGCTGGTCCCTGGAAGCCGACTTCAGATACAGAGTTATGGGAAATGTTAAGCATGAAAAAAATGGCAAAAGAATATTTGTGCTGACATTCATCAAAAAAAAGTCAGAGTGGGCCAGCCACATGGTGTGGTGGCTAGGGTGGCCGGATCCCACAGGGTTGAATACATGGTTCAAGTCCCGGACCTGGTGCCTTGGAAAACACACTGGTGTGTAGGCGTGTGTGCCCGCGATCCCTAGAGGGGAATGGGGAGAAGGGATAGTGGCACCCTGGGGGGTGACTTCTCACTTTTCCTCTCTCCGTGTCTCTCTGTCTCTCTAACAAGTGCATACTTCTAGGCAAAAATTTTTAAAAAATGTATCTAATAACTGAACTGCAAACTTTATAAGAAATAGAAACTGGGGCCAGCAGGTGGCAGGGTGACCGTGGTTTGAGTCCCGGACCTGGCAGCTTGCTTTCTCTCTTTTCCTCTTTCTCTATCTTTCACTGATGAGCACACATGCCTTATAGCAAATTAAATAATAATAATAAATAAAATTAAATAATTCTTTAGAAAAATAAAAAGCAGAAAGCGATAGAACAGCAGGAAAAAATGGGCCGACCCACAACTGCAGTCAGAGCTTTCAGCACCGCTCCGAAGAACTACCAGGACAAGCGCCAAGAAGAGGAGGATGGAGGACTTGAACGGCACCGCCAGTCGGCCTGCGCGCCCAGACGCGTCTGCCAGTAACATCAGACCCAGGTTCTCAGGCTCACCCAGAGCCGAGATGTTCCGTAAAGCACGCCTCAACAGACGTGGCAGAATCCACGGAGCACGTGTCCTATGGCCGCAGCGGAGTTAGCGATCAGGAACAGGAACATATTTGTGACTAAAATGTGGGAAAATCCCCTAGTTTTTAGAAACTGTTGGGACATTGGGAAAGTCATGATGGATTGTTTTTTTTTTTTTTTTTTTTTGCATAGAACATAGAAAAATACATCATTACTATTTTTTTTTTAAGATATTTTGTAGTGGGACCAGCAGTTGGCATAATGGCTATGTCGCTGGACTCCCATGTAGTTGACCGCATTTCGAGTCCCTGACCTGGTGGCTTAAACTCATGCCAGGTATGTGTGCGTGCGTGCCCAAGATCCCAAGAGGAGAGTGGAGGAGAAGGGATTGTGGCGTGGCCATCCCCCATGGGGGGTGATTTCTCACTTTCTGTCTCTGTCTCTCTGGCGTGTGGATGTGCCCTGTAACAAAAATCTCTCTCTCTAAAAAAAAAAAAAATGGGACTAGCACATGGCACAGTGGTTATGCCACTGGACTCGCTGGACTCCCACGTTGTTGACTGTGGGTCAAGTCCTGGACCCAGTGGCTTAAACTCATGCCAGGTATGTGTGCGTGCGTGCCCAAGATCCCAAGAGGAGAGTGGAGGAGAAGGGATTGTGGCGTGGCCATCCCCCATGGGGGGTGATTTCTCGCTTTCTGTCTCTCTCTTTCTCTGTCTCTCTGGCAAACGCACGCACCCTATAGCAAAAACCTCTCTCAAAAAAATACTGATTTTCTTCATAATCTGTAGATTCAACATCATATCAACCATAGACTTCTTGAAAGGCTTTTTTCTTCTTTTTCTTTCCTTTGGGTAGAAATCAGTAAGCAGATTCTAAAAATTCACGTGCAAAGGACCTAAAATAGCCACAATGACTTGGAAAGAGAAGAGCGAAGTCGGAGGACTTACAGACCACACTTCAAAACCTATAGACAGGGACCAGCAGGTGGTGTAATGGCTATGTCTCTGAACTTCCATGTAGTTGACTGTGGTTCGAGTCCCGGACCCGGTGGCTTAAGATATTTTGTAGTGGGACACACATGTGCGTGTGTGCCCAAGATCCAGAGAGGAGAATGGAAGAGAAGGGATTGCGGTGTGGCCATCCCCCCTGGGGGGGGGGGGATTTCTCGCTCTTTGTTTCTCTGTCTCTCCCTGTCTCTCTGGTGAGGCACGTGCCCTGCAGCAAAAACCTCTCCAAAAGAAAAAAAAAAAGAAAAAAAAAAAACCTATGGACACATGACCCGTGATACGTATCTGTGGGGATAGGCCAGTCTTAAAATTTGTCTTTTAGTTTGCTGTAGGAGGCATGCACTCCCAGAGAGACTGAGGGAAAGTGAGAGCCCCCCGGGGATTGGCCACACCACAGTCCATTTTCCTCCATCCTCCTTTCGGAATATTGGACACACGTGCACATGTACCCAGCACGTTTTTCAAGCCACTGAATCCAGGACTCGAACTGTGCAGTCGGCCGTGTGGCTCCAGCTGCCTTAACCTCAAGGCTGTCTGCTGCTCTGGGTCTTCAAGTTATTACTTTTTGTGAATCTCGGTAAGCCTGGCCTAATTACAGACAGCTGGGTCCTCGCAGCTGCTCGTGGGGCCCAGCAGCTTTGCCATGTCGCTGTGGTGAGCGTGGGATAAAAAGCCAACCTCACAGGGACATGTGATACGGAAGGGGGACATTTTCACAGGCTTTCAGGTAACGTGGACAATCTTTGCTAGTACACCGAGTTTGACAAGTGGACGCTTCTTGGTTTTTAGAGAGAGATTTTTGCTCTAGGGCATGTGTGCTTACTGGAGAGACAGAGGGACAATGAGAAATCACCCTCTCCCCCCCCCCCGGGGGGGATGGCCATGCTGCAATCCCTTCTCCTCTATTCTCTCGAGGTTTTAGGCTTGCATGCACTCATGCCGGGCGTGAGTTTTAAGCCACTTTTTCTGAGACTCAAACCGTGATGGGCCCTGTGGGAGTCCAGCGATGTAATCATTGTGCCATCTGCTGGTCCCAACAAGTGGAAGTTCCTAGAGGTGTGTGGGGTGGTTCCGGTGCCCAGCCTGAGTGAATGTTGCATAATCAGCTACGTTAAAGGCCACTGGCCCATCTGCCCGCTCAGTGGCTCCTTCCAACCACACACTACCGGTAACACGCATTAGTGTGAAAAATACTGGTTCCCCGAGTTCTGATGTTCCCGCTGTTGACACGGTTCATTCTGTAATGTATGACCCCCCCCAAACCACATTCTTTAATATCGCCATCCAAATCATCAGAAAGGTCTGAGTGTTGGGGACCTGCCGGGTGCACGGCGGCAGACGCTGGTTCCAGGGCTCTCTACCAAGTGCTGCGAGGTTATGCATGTGTGAACGTGTCTTCCGTTGCTTTTCCTGCAGTGCCCAAATTGCTTCATTTTCTAGAAAATACCTGCCAAGCATCCCAGTCTGAACATCCGTCTTGTCAGTATTCTAAGTAAAAGCAGTTAGTTGGTCTTGAACTGCGGCAGCGGGGGCTTGTTAAGCATCGCCTTGCGCTCCTGGGCTCATTGCCCAGCCGAGACCCGGACTCCGCGGGGAGCTCCCCTCGGGCGGGGCAGGGCTGCGACAGAGGCGGCCGCGGCTCTGTCCCGCTCACGCGTGTTTGGTTTCCCCAGAAAAGACGAAGCCCGCGCGTCTGCTGTCCGAAAGCGACTACCGGCCCGAGCCGCTGACGGTGGAGGTGCAGGTGGAGCTGAACCAGTGCCGCTCGGCGGGCGGGGCG